AGGGTGCAACAAACTAGCTTTCACACATACATGTGTGCATACATACATACATCGCATATACATGCATCATACATACACACATACACACGTACATACCTGTATACATACATACATACATACATACATACATACATACGTACGTACATACATACATACATACATAGTACTCACAAACACACAAACATACTTACACACATGCAAACGTACATACCTTCTTACATACATACACACACATTCACACGTACATGCATACCATTCCATTCCGCTCCATTCCATTCCATTCCATTCCATTCCATACCATACCATACCATTACATTACATTACATTACATTACATTACATTACATTACATTACATTACATTACATTACATTACATTACATTACATTACATTACATTACATTACATACAAACATACATGTACATGTGTGTGTATATGTATGTATGTTGTATGTACGCATGCACATGTATATGAGTTCACATATATATATATACATGTCTACTAACATACTTACCTAGATATAAGTGTGTACATACGCCATGTACCTGCAAACATGCATGAATGCATGCCTACCCTACCCTGCCTGCCTATCGACATACATACATACTTACACGCATGTTACCTCCATGGTATATACATGGTACATACACATTACATGCATACATATTACATACAACTGTTACATACAACTTTTACATACATACATACATACATACATACATACATACACACCTACATACATACACACATGCCTACATACATACATGCACCTGGACACAAAGAGAAAGCCAGCGACCCGCTCTACCCGAACCCGTCTTGTACAGACAAGATGTCGGTGGACCCGCTTCTCTCCTTCCACGAGTGCGAAACTGGTCAGCAGTGACCAGAGCACCGGGCTTACACGCACCTCGTGGTCGGTCATGATGGCCGCCATCCGGTGAAAGTACTCTGGAGTACGAGCCGAAAAGTAGTCTGCCCGCGATTTAAAGAGCTGACTCCAGAGGGCCTCGTCGCAAGTGAAGACGCAACAGAGTCCGAGCACCCCCAAGCGGTGCGGGAGGGACGGGCTGGTGTCCGCGCATAGGCCTTCTGCACGGTGCAGATCCACTAAAGCCTGGCCCAGCGCATCTGCATCATGGTTGAGCGCGCCACGCATAGCCAAGCGAAGCTGATCGACCAAGAGCTGTGGCAGCTCCAAAGCCATGCCAGCATCAATGAAAGTGAGCTTCGGTTCTTTGCCATGCTTCATGGTCACCAAGATGTTGCCTGGATGCAAATCTGCGTGCAGGAAGTTGTCAGCCAACACCATCTTGGCGG